GTTAACATAGCTTGAGAAGTTCAAACCTCACCATTGGATTGGTTTTGGAAGAATTGGCATGGCAAAGTTGCTTTGGTTCATCACATTTCAAGGTTATTAGATTTGACTCAAAAGTACAAGGGGTTGATTGGAGAAGTTGTCATGTTTGGACAAGGCCTTGTTCCTATTGGTCACAAGAGCATATTTATCTCAAATTTCAAGATATGGAAGTGGTTTTGGTGGCTATGAGTCCTCATAATCATCCTCAACAACTTCTATTCATAAAGCAAGAATATTGGCACAAGAAGTTTGTTCAAACTTGTCAAAGTTCCTCAAAGCATTCTTTTGATCTAGAAGCTAGGGTTTTGAACATCAAAAGAGAATATCTTGCTACCCTTTTGGTATTTTTGAGTGATTAAAAAGACATTTCTCTTCAAAGGGTTATCAATAAATCACTTCAAAAGTTCCAAGGAGTTTTCATGTGGAAGGAACTTGGTGAAGAAGAAAGATTACAAGTCATCTAGATGAATCCACAATTTTCCATATGTGACTTCAAATGGTCATAACTTGGTCAATTTTTATCTGTCCATTCTTTTTCCATAATGATCTTGAACATGTTTAATTTATGCTTTTTTTATGTGAAAAGTGAGAAAATGGATGGAAGTTGCCTTAAATATGCAAAAGATTATAGGTCATTTCATGATTTTTGTCCAACTTCAACAAGTCATAACTTGCTCAATTTTTGGATATTTTGAGTGGTTCAAGTTTCAAAATGTCATTCAAGAGACCTAATTCATTCCATATTTTTTGGTCAAGAGAAAATTCCATGTGGAAGGCCATGTTTGGATGCTAGACATTATAGGTCATTTTTGAAGAAGAATTTGAAATATTTCTATGTATGGAAAGTCAACCCTTTTTCTTCAACTTTGACTCAATGCAACTTTCAGCTCAAGCATCCATTTGATTCCATTCTTTTTCCATTACAAAGCTTGTAACCTCATCTTTCTAAAGCATCAAGAATCAGGCCCTAAGACCCCTTGAGTTGAAAATGCCATTGGTCATAAGTTGGCACTTTGAAATTGAAATTCTCACCATGTCAGAATTTTGAAATCCATAATGTGGCCTCTAATCACAAGTTTTCCACGCGTTTTTGCCTCTAAACATGTTTAGTGATGTTCCAGATTTGTTTAGCACATCAAAACGCATGGATTGGATGGGTTTTGATGAAGTTTGTATCACACTTCACTCGTGCATCAGGTGTGCACGATTTCCCTCCAAAAACGCATCATTCACCCTTCCTTTTGATCCCATTTTCTTCTCCTATAAATACATGAACTATCCCATTCAATTTCCCAAGCTTGGATAGCCAGAATCACCCTGCCAAACTTGTTTCACAACTTAGAATTCAGCAACTTCAAAATCCATTCTCGACCTTTTTTCAATCCAATTTTTCCCTCAATTCACCTTCCTTGATCTTCCCTGAAGCTAACCATATAGTTACATTCAAGAATCGTGCCCTATACTGTTCCATAGGAGTCCAGTTTGAGAGCTCTGCAACTCAATTTCAATAGGTAGATTCCTTCATCAATTCTTCAAAACTCTGATATCATTGTGTTTCTCTCATTTCCATGGTTCTAGTTGCAACACTTACATTTCACTGGAAACATGTTTTGACCATGAAATTTCAAATCCCCTTTCAAAACTTTCCTTCCAAATTGCTTGAGTTACAGTTTATATAAATTTAGCGCGAGGGTGTGGTTGTTTTCGTCTTGAAGAGGCGAAGCGATTGACATAGGTCTGAGCTTTTGATTTTACAGTTTGAGAGACTTGTAAATCACGTTGGCTGGAGGTTGAAGATGACCTATGTGTCATCTTCCAACCAATGATGGCACGCCACTTTTTATTTTTGAAAATTTGATTTATATTTGATTATGTACATTATTCACTAATGACCATGATATGCATAACGCGCCAGATCCCTTGGATTTGATTACTAATGCGTTTTGACTCTCATCCAATGGTCCACATGTTTTACTTTTATTTTCTTTTTCTGATTTTTATATTTTAATTATTTTAAATTTCAAAAAATCATAGAAAATTCATTTTTAGTCCAAAAAATCTGAAAAAATTATGAAAAATATTTTTGATTATTCTCTTTCTGATTTCTATTTTTTCACAATTTAATTTTGTGTTTTGTTATTTTTTATAAATTTTACACTTATTTGATTTGTTTAAAATGTTTAAAAATACTTTTATACCTTTTTAAATTCTGGAAAAATTATGGAATGATCCAATGATATTGTGACAAATATGGATGACCATATTTTATTTTATTTCTGACTTTACTAGTTTTTACTATTTTTGGTTAATTTTACCCATTTATTTTAATTTTAAAAATAGTTTCTGACTTTAAAAAATTACCAAAAAATTTGTAAAATTACTTGGACCTTTTTCTGATTTTTCTATGGTCTTACTTTTATTTTCTTGATTAATTCGAACATAGTTGATATTTTTCTCATTATTTTTTATTTTTCAAACATTTTTTAAACCCTTTTTGTGTACATTAAATGTGATATTATTTTGTGATTATTTCTGGCTGATCTTGGGTTAGATTTTGGATCATGAACTTTATTAACATCATTGGATCCATGGTGTTGAGTCTAACTCCACAAAAATGGATGAATGATTTTAATAATAGTTTGATTAAAATTTAATTCAAATGTGGTTTGTATATTTTTCCCCATCCCTCTTCATCTCATCCCGTTCTTATTTCACTAAATGTTGTTGGAGCATGACATTTATATCATGTCTCAAAACAAATGGTGGATATATTTCTATTGATCAGCCTCAAAATAGGTGCGACTTCTACATAAGTCCACTTACGATTGCTTAACATAACGCTAAATTTTGTCCCGATTCGAATAAATGATCATTCGTGGCCCAAGCTTATGATTGCAAGCCCAAGTATGTTAATTTGATCTCTTTGATCCAATAACCTTGAGATTCATTGTGTGGAGGCTTTAGTTCTACCAATCCTCTAATGGATCTACAACACCTTTGGTCAACGAGGATCACTTAAACATTGTTGACGATTAAATGGTACTTGTGAGAATTCCAAATGGATGATATACTTGACAAAAAGCAAATACAACTTGTTGTGTGGAGGCTTTGGTTCTACCAATCCTCTAATGAGTTCCAAATGCAAGTTTCAAGATGGTCATCCCACTAACCACTAATTATTGACTTGTTTCATCTTGTGCTTTTATTATTTTTGATGCTTTATGTACTATTTATTTTTTAGCATTTACATTTCATGCCATTTTCATCTTTGCTCATTTGAGCATTTATTTTTCTTGCCATTTTTACTTTACACACTTGAGCTTTTCTTTTCCTTTCTTAAGATACTTAATAATCAACATAAACCCTAAAAAATATTTAATGGTACTTGGACTATTTAGTTACTATCCTTGGCATTATGGAGCATGGGACTTTTCTTAGACTTAGGATTAGAGACCTTGGCCTATATTGGAGACTTTGTGACTTTATCTTATTATTTTTGTTTGGAATTCTTAAGGTTTACCTCAAGATATTGGGTTGTTTGTTTGTTTTGTGTGCAGGTTTTTGTGATTACATACTTTGTTTGTAATCTGGAATTCGCCCGTATACAACCGTTACTCTGCCTAATTTTTGTGAAGATTTTATACATTTGAAGTTAGTTCTCTCAAGAGGTCTAGTATCTTTGCTTGCTTGGTTTCAATCCAAAGAATGGGAATTCTATCTTGACTCATAATGTCAAGTATTGACTTCTTGTTGGTTAAATGATTCTTCTCCTTAGCTTTTACCTTATGCTTTATGACAGTCTCTTCTTCTCCTCCCATCTTCTTTAATTTCAAAAATCTTCTTACCACTTTTTAAAACTCTTCTTGTTTTGAAACCTGAACCATTTTCATGATAAACTTGGACTTAGGTCCATGCATTTTCAAAGCATTTTCATAGTTAAATTCTAATCAACTTAATAATACCTTGACATTTTTTTGTGAGAAGACTAAAATTCAATCAATCTCATTCAAACCATTTTGCCACTTTGGCTTTTAATTTAAACTTTTCTCAAAAGATTAAACTCTTGTAAATCCTTGTAGTGATGCAAACAATTATACTTCTACAATATGTAGTGAAGAGAGATATTTTCCACTTGGGTGTTGAGTGAGGCATTGTTGATTTTAAAATCCAAGCCGTATCCTCCACTTTGTAATGATGCAAATTCTCATTTCTCATAATTGTGGGTAGAGGTATGTTTTCCACACGGACCATGACGATGATGTTTTATCTCATAAAATTGACCAACGCATTTGTGTTTCCATTTTTTAAAAGAAGAACTATGTGTACCCTGATCCCCTATTGCACAAAAGATGGTACGTAGGCACTAAAGGTTCGCAACCGCGGCGGGTGCAAAAATCATAAAAAATATATTTATTTTCTCACCTCCACCATCCGTTTTTATATACAACAGTTTTTATAGCCAAAATATATAGATTTTACAAAGAGGTTCCTACGGAGTACCGTAGATGTTTAGGGTTCTAATACCTTCCCTTTGCATAACCAACCCCCTTACCCTGAATCTTTCCCCCTCTTTTGGGTTATTCGCTCTTTTCACATTCCTTTGGAAACAATAAAGCGCGGTGGAGATTTTTATTTTGATTTGTATAAAGTCTAGTCAATCCAATGGCTTAGTGTTAAACATTTCTACCGCTACACTATCTACCTATCTACCTATATATCTATCTATCTATCTATCTATCTATCTATCTATCTATCTATCTATATATCTATC